AAATATCCCATAACTTAAAGCAAATGAAGGGTCAAATTTCATTTAAAAGAGAAAACATGGGTGCCATTTAAGTTTGAAGTTAAATGCTTCAATTTAGTGGGGTTTTTATTGCCAAAAATGTGGGTGGCCCTTTGAGAAAATAATTGATGAAAATAAATATTTAAATTCTAGAAAATAACTAGAATTTTCATTTCAGGCAACTTCGGTCGACCGGTTGTAATCCGGTTGACACTACACAGCTTTCAATATTTTTATCATAACTTCTTCTCCTGATATTCGATTGAGGTAATTCAAAGTGCGTTGGAAAGCTAACTCAAAGAGCTACAACTTTTATTTATATATTATTTTCCAAATCGAATGTTTCCTATGTCGAAAATGGATCTCAAATGAGACTAAAAATCTGAAGTATACTTTAGTCATCAATATTCATGTCTTAGTGCCACTAAGGTGTCTAGAATTATTTGGAGTTCTACATTCGGCACTTGTGAGGAACTGTGTAGAGGATTAAGAGATTGGGAACAAGAGAGTGAGAGATAGTTGAAATGGTTTATTATGGAAGTTATGATAATTAAAATTCAAATTGCGATATTTAAGGGAACACGGAAGTTGCAATACATATCGTTTAAAAACTAAATTATAAATTAATATTTAAATATATAATAATTAAATTAAAACTTGAGATTTGCATAAACAATTTTGGAGGCTGAATCTTGCACAGTGATCTCCAAATGTCGGGAATTCTATAATTTCCTCACCAATAAATTTGTATGTTTTATTTAGAACAAAAATCCTATATTTATAGAGACAAATTAGGGTTATAAGAGATACAACAGTCATAAGGACTAAGGTTAAAGGAGCATAAAGAACATTCATAAATATTACTATATTTACAACACTCTTCTTTGAATGACTATTTACAGAATAACTATTTCATTAAAACTTTGTTTGGCAAAAATTCAATGGAACAAAATCCAATAAATGAAAAAAGAGTAAATAATTTGAAATAATAAAATGTTATCTCGTTAAAACCTTGTTAAGAAAATTCAGTGAGATATAACTTGATCGAAGAAAGAACGATACATCTACTCTCTCTAATTTCAATTCTTGTACCCAGCAATCTATGTCTTGTGTCTCAATATCTTCAAAAAATCCAATGAGACAAAACTTGATGATTGTAGTAACATGATTCGAAAAATAAACTTGATAATTGTAGTAACATGATTCGAAAAATAACTCATGTTAATCTCTTCGAGAGTTTCATATGAGAGCTACTATTTTGATGGTAAATGTTTTGTAGATTATGGACATTCATTACACCGAGTTATGCTCCTCATGTTAGCAGCTATGGTTGCCATTTCTCTAGTAAGCTTAGCAACTATTCTCGTCCCACCTTGTCTATGTTGGTGGTGAGGTTGATGATGACCCACTGGAGTAGCCTGGGAGGGGCCCCTTCTCCAGGGTTTTTCCTTACCCTTCAAGATGGCACATCTTCATTCTCAAAACTCATTTTTGGGATGCCTTTTTTGAAAAAAACAAAAATCTTCGCAAAACGTATTCTTCTATTTCAAAACACTCCTTTTTCAGATAAACAACCCTGAAATTTTGGAATCTTTTCCCTAGGACATTTGTTTGTTCTTTTACAAGAACAAATCATTTTTGCAAAGGGGATGTACATTTTTTTTTTCTTTTTGATAAGCTTTTCCCATGGGATCTATGTGGTCGAAATTTGTGATTCCACAGGTAGCGCCAATTTGTTGATCCCTAAAAACAAACCAACAAAAGCCTGGGCTCCACTTGTGTCCACGCGTAGTCACGTGTAAAGAAAATCACTTCTTAAGAGGTAAGCCACCAAGATGTTCGAGCATCGTGGTTAACCAATAAGATATATTATTTTGGACTATGCTAGATGTCCCTAAATTTTTTTACCTAATGCTTTACATACACTCACAATAAGGGTGTGGGGAATAGGGATCACATGTTGGGATTATTTTATTCACGCGGAGTCCACGTGCTTGTGAGAGTAGGTAAACCAAATTATGTACACTTAGAATTATCCTATAATTTTTGGGGGACTATCTTCGAACATGTAGAAATGAGCGTTCAATATTATATAAAGACTAGAGAGAAAAGAGTTATATATTGCTCTTGGTATTTGAACTTGCATTAGCTTTTAAATAATACAAGATATGGTATTTATAGTGTTACAATTAAAGCTATAACCTTTGGATGAAGCACAAGTGGCTCCATCCAACCCACGGGGATGTCCAATCACCCACTTGGTCTGTATTACACTTGATTATCCTTGAAAAAAAAAATAGAGGAGTCGCCCTATAGTCCATAATTACACTCTGGTCAATAATCTAACATGATTGGACGTGTCAAAGCTGTAGGTTGCCGCATCATTCCCATTCACAAGATCTTTACATAATGCATCTTCTTGAGAAGTGTTCTTGGTTTAGAAGCTCTTGGGGCTTCGGCTATTTGGGACTTCGTCTCGTTGATCAACTTTGAGTTGTTGTGTAGTGCTTCAGTTGTAGCGCTGTTTCTCCATGGGCTTCAGTTATCTTTTGTCTTGATGACATGGACTGTTCCTGACAAGGTTCCACATGGGATGCCATGTGGACAATAACTTGAACTTCGATGGCAAGGCGTGACATTAGTTATTTCAAACTAAGTAAGGATTAGTATCATTTAGATAAATCAGATATTAGATATATGGAAAAAGTCCTTTATAATAATGTTGTAGGCCCTCTTATGTATATTATAGACTGTACTAGGTTTAATGTGGCTCATGCCATAAATAATTTAAGTAGGTTTATGGCCGTGAACATTGTACTACTTTAAAATGATTGCTTATATTATTTGTAATAAGTTTAATCAGAAGCCTGTAGAAATAATGTCAGTCCAATTTATATTATTTATCTAGGTTTAGTCTAGTGATGACAATAAATCGAGCCATCTTGACTCAACTTGTATAGTGATGGCAAAAAAATCCATTCCGAACAGGTTGGCAGGTGGGTTGATGCTCCGCCCCTAACCCGCCCCGTGAAGGAAAAAATAAAAATAAAAAAGATTAAAAATAATTTTATTTCTAAACAATTCACCCTTTAAAAATTTATTTTGAATTTTTATTTTATTCTCTAATAATAATATAACTCGAAACTTTGAAAATATAAAAGAAAATAAACGGGGCAAAAAGTTGTCCCGCCCACCCTGTGCCCTACTCTGCTCTATCTAAGGCGGGTTAGGACGGAGTTGGGACGGGGACTCGTCTCGTTGTCATCCCTAAACTTATGGGTTAGTGAGCGGCTTGCTAACCCAAAATAAGGCTTTGGCTAGGCCCATACGCTTGGCTTGTACTGGGCAGAGCTGAGCCCTCATAAGGTTGTTGAGCGGCTAGTTTAGTCCGATTCTTATGACATTTATTTGGAATTGAACGAACGTAATATAGAAAATTGGAATGGAATTATTAGACTAACCAATTAAAAAGTCAAACAGATAATAAAACTTTATGATTGAACCACATCATATTATCTAATGTGTATTTTCAAAATCAACGTGAATTTATCATAATTTACAAAAGTTTACCTTAAAAGTAAAAAACACCTATATAAATGAAAGCACCAAATTTTCACGGTACACCCTACCACACATTTATATATCTGTCCTTCTTAGCCAAGCCACATTTACTACCACAGTGTAATACTTGTGAAACCATTGAAAACGGGTTAAAAACTTGTTTAATTACGGAACTTATAGATTGGTTCTACTTCAGTCATTCATTTTTTTATTTTTGTTGTTCAACTTTGCATCGAGATTTCTGTTAGTCACTTCATCCATCTTCCTTTATCCAAACTAACGGATTCATTGAATTGGCAGGGTTATGCTACATGCACATTATAATGTCCATAACATCATTGGAGAGTTGAAAAACAGTTTTTTCGAACCTCCAATCATAGAATTCCACATGTACATTATGAACACCCTTATGGATACCATAACGTACGTGTAGAATTAGTTAGGTGAAATTTTTAATTGCAAATTGGAATGATCTATCTTCTTCTCCCATCCCTCCATCTTGAAAAATAAATATTGCAACTTGATATGTACTTCTTGACAATCGGTGAGGGTATTTGATCAAGTTACCAAGAAGTAAATGAAGTAAAATTTTCAATTGAATTTATATGGTCATGGTACAATATTGGTTTATGTTATGTGACCCATGACTAGTTAAGTGGGTCACAAGCGTCACAGGAGTATGTTGGATACAACAATATTTCATATGATAGGACACTACAATAATGAATAAGAAAATAATTGAAAAAACTATACTATCCCTCATTACGAGTGCGGACAAAATACGGAGAACGGGGTAGGCAATATGGGGAAACCAACTGGTGAGGAACGAAACTAGCCGCAGGCGGCGGCAGGGAAGAATGGTCAGGTGGCCAGGTGGGAAGATTGCGAACGGGGTTGCAAACTTTTCCCTTTCCCTTTCCCTTTCCTTTTATTTTTCCTTATATTTTTTTATCAAAGTTATTTGTGTTTACTCAACTTACCTATTAAATAATTATAAACATGATGCACAACTTTTAACAATCAAACCGTAACCCAAATGTTATAGAATTGAAATACTGAATTATGAAATACTAAGAGTCCGTTTGGGAGCGATTTTTCCTTCCAAAAAATTGATTTTTTGACCGTTATTTCACTATTCCAATCGTCATATTTGATTTCTTCTCTCACAGGTGAACCCCACTCTTCTCCTAACGGTCAAAAAATCAATTCTCAAAATCACTCACAAACAGATTCTAAGTAACTTAGGCTTTAGAGTAAAGTACTTATAAACACAGAATGAATAATATTATCATCAGTTTACATGGCATTGAGATCCACCGTCTACCATTAGTATCGTATGTAGATTGTGGACCTCATAATCATGGATGGATGCTAGATAGAATTACTGAAGAAAAAATATATAAATAAAAAGATGGGTGAGATTTAATGTCAAGAGAAATGCAAATTAGCCTAATAAATCAGTCCATCCAATAGTAGATTCACTATGTAGAGTCTTAAAAAATATACATCAAGACAGCATTGCAAACGAAACATAAGTCTAGGATGAGACTATACATTAAATACCACATAGCTTACTTCTTAAATGCCAAACCCTGCCTAATCTCTCTACATATAATAAATAAGAATCACAAAAATTACATTTTCTGATAACCAAACACAATAAATTGAACATTTTCTACTTCTCTACTTGGTGTTAGACTTTATACTCCAGCTGCTTTCCCTAATCTCTCTCTCAATATCTTCACTCCCATGTACCTGTATTTATAATCAAGTTGTAAGATGATATATATTTGTTAAATTTTTGTCAATAAATTTTCTCATATAAACAAGAATACAATGATCTTACCGGCCCATCATCATCACCGTGGCTTGCGGATTGGTGCCGGGGGGGCTAGCAAATGTCGAGCCATCAATAACACGAAGTCTTTCAACCCCGAATACCTTATGATCAGGGCTCACCACCTTGCCCACATGGCACCCTCCATGGTAGTGCCAAATTGTGATAACAGTGTCTTTACAAAACTGCTCTAGGGATTTTGTGTCATTGGTATGCTTAGGAATAAGATTAACATTGGCATGAACACTCATGTTTAGTATCTTTTCGATCGTCTCCTTGTCACACTTCGTGTAGTTTATGAAGTGTTTAGACTTCAAAATCTTCTCAATTATGCGTATACCGTCCACACATCGTGCTAAATCGTACGGGTGGTTGAAGTAGTTGAAGGTGACCGACGGGTTATCGTCTACATTTGTGTTGAGCAAGCTGAGTTGACCAGCTGACAGGGGCCATGCAATCTTTTCTAGGATGAATCCTCCCATAAATGTCTCGTGTGGGATGTTTCTTTTTCTTTTTATGTATTCTTGAATTGCTTCATGTGATCTTTGCTTTGGAGGAATGGTAGATAGCTGCCCTATCTGTTAACATAACAAAATGCTATTGTTTGGTAAAGTCGACTATTTAACACTAGACAGTACGAAAGAAGAAAAAGAAGCTAAAATATTGTCTATTTTAGTGTCTAATCCTATTCATTACTGTATACAAGACATACACAAAGAAACATGGTGCTCACCTCTGCAGAAACAATTCCATTGTTCCAATGAATGCTATCCATGGACTGTCCAAATCCACTGCTAGCTTCAATGTACACTCCCAACTTGGTAATTCCTACAACTTGTATTAAAGACTGTTTGATATTCCTATTTGTTGGGATATAGATTGTGTTGAGCGGGTTGTCAGCCATGCCCTTTCCAACAAATTCATTGTCAAGAACCACAGATATGTTCAATTTTTCAAGATCTGCCTTTGGACCGATCCCACTAAGCAGCAGCAGTTGAGGGCTCCCAAGTGCTCCCGATGACACGATAATTTCACTCCTTGGCCTCTTCGAAAGAAATGCTTTGTTTTGCTTCCCGTTTTCGTCTTTGAAAATGACTCCAACTGCCCGAGGTCTTTTACCTGTAATGGCATTGCATATTACCAAGATACTGATAATAAATTACACGATGAAATCTTGTTGTTTGTACTCTCTAGACCTATTAAGTAATACTTACTTGTTTTGTCAAACACAATCTTTTGGACTGTTGCGTGTACTAAAACATGGAGATTATCGGGATTTGCCGAGGCAAGGAGCTCAGCGGCGGTGTGACGCCGACCGAACCTGTCAAAAATAGTTCCACCAATTTTGGTTCCATATAGATGATCATAGGTGAATCCATTGAAAGGTGAGATTCCAACTTCTATAAGGCTGTCCCTAAATGCTCTTTGCCACGGCACAAGCTCTGGCCTATGCACAATTTGCCTCTCAACCCATGGATATGATTCATTCACCAGTTTTGCATCCCACCCTACTCTTTTAATGTAACTGGAAGTCACAAAATTCAAGTGTTAACAAGTTGGCACATATCAACCATCTTTCTAAAAATCTTGCTTGAAAATCAAAGGAAGAAGGTCAAATATTTTCTAGCATAGTTCGCATAACGAGAGACTAGAAATGACCCGATAGCCCAAAAATGGGAACAAATATCAGGCATTCTTCTACCGGTCGCTCTATATTAACCTGGGATTTGAACTCTCTAGTTGAGTACGCTCTTCCTATGTAGTAACTTACCAAGGCCTAATGCTATATTAGATATTCGAATACTATGAAAACAAGTGTACATTTGATCAAGTTACCAAGAAGTAAATGAAGTAAAATTTTCAATTGAATTTATATGGTCATGGTACAATATTGGTTTATGTTATGTGACCCATGACTAGTTAAGTGGGTCACAAGCGTCACAGGAGTATGTTGGATACAACAATATTTCATATGATAGGACACTACAATAATGAATAAGAAAATAATTGAAAAAACTATACTATCCCTCATTACGAGTGCGGACAAAATACGGAGAACGGGGTAGGCAATATGGGGAAACCAACTGGTGAGGAACGAAACTAGCCGCAGGCGGCGGCAGGGAAGAATGGTCAGGTGGCCAGGTGGGAAGATTGCGAACGGGGTTGCAAACTTTTCCCTTTCCCTTTCCCTTTCCTTTTATTTTTCCTTATATTTTTTTATCAAAGTTATTTGTGTTTACTCAACTTACCTATTAAATAATTATAAACATGATGCACAACTTTTAACAATCAAACCGTAACCCAAATGTTATAGAATTGAAATACTGAATTATGAAATACTAAGAGTCCGTTTGGGAGCGATTTTTCCTTCCAAAAAATTGATTTTTTGACCGTTATTTCACTATTCCAATCGTCATATTTGATTTCTTCTCTGGCAAATTTTCACCCAAAACATGTACACTTATATAACTCAAACTAGGAAAGAAGCAAAAATGTGGTCAGTAGGCATTTTGGAGCTGTACCTTGCGCTTGCTCTGGTGTAAAATCCTGCATTGATGCAGGTACCTCCACCCAAGATTCTAGCCCTGGAATTAATAACTCCATCGGTGGAAATAAATACTTGTGATGCAGAGGTTTGTGATGTATCGGCTAAGGAAATGTGAAAATTCTGCAAAAATGACTCTAAGTAACTTAGGCCCTGGAGTAAAGTACTTATAAACACAGAATGAATAATGTTATCATCAGTTTACATGGCATTGAGATCCACCGTCTACCATTAGTGTCGTATGTAGATTGTGGACCTCATAATCATGGATGGATGCTAGATAGAATTACTGAAGAAAAAATATATAAATAAAAAGATGGGTGAGATTTAATGTCAAGAGAAATGCAAATTAGCCTAATAAATCAGTCCATCCAATAGTAGATTCACTATGTAGAGTCTTAAAAAATATACATCAAGACAGCATTGCAAACGAAACATAAGTCTAGGATGAGACTATACATTAAATACCACATAGCTTACTTCTTAAATGCCAAACCCTGCCTAATCTCTCTACATATAATAAATAAGAATCACAAAAATTACATTTTCTGATAACGAAACACAATAAATTGAACATTTTCTACTTCTCTACTTGGTGTTAGACTTTATACTCCAGCTGCTTTCCCTAATCTCTCTCTCAATATCTTCACTCCCATGTACCTGTATTTATAATCAAGTTGTAAGATGATATATATTTGTTAAATTTTTGTCAATAAATTTTCTCATATAAACAAGAATACGATGATCTTACCGGCCCATCATCATCACCGTGGCTTGCGGATTGGTGCCGGGGGAGCTAGCAAATGTCGAGCCATCAATAACACGAAGTCTTTCAACCCCGAATACCTTATGATCAGGGCTCACCACCTTGCCCACATGGCACCCTCCGTGGTAGTGCCAAATTGTGATAACAGTGTCTTTACAAAACTGCTCTAGGGATTTTGTGTCATTGGTATGCTTAGGAATAAGATTAACATTGGCGTGAACACTCATGTTTAGTATCTTTTCGATCGTCTCCTTGTCACACTTCGTGTAGTTTATGAAGTGTTTAGACTTCAAAATCTTCTCAATTATGCGTATACCGTCCACACATCGTGCTAAATCGTACGGGTGGTTGAAGTAGTTGAAGGTGACCGACGGGTTATCGTCTACATTTGTGTTGAGCAAGCTGAGTTGACCAGCTGACAGGGGCCATGCAATCTTTTCTAGGATGAATCCTCCCATAAATGTCTCGTGTGGGATGTTTCTTTTTCTTTTTATGTATTCTTGAATTGCTTCATGTGATCTTTGCTTTGGAGGAATGGTAGATAGCTGCCCTATCTGTTAACATAACAAAATGCTATTGTTTGGTAAAGTCGACTATTTAACACTAGACAGTACGAAAGAAGAAAAAGAAGCTAAAATATTGTCTATTTTAGTGTCTAATCCTATTCATTACTGTATACAAGACATACACAAAGAAACATGGTGCTCACCTCTGCAGAAACAATTCCATTGTTCCAATGAATGCTATCCATGGACTGTCCAAATCCACTGCTAGCTTCAATGTACACTCCCAACTTGGTAATTCCTACAACTTGTATTAAAGACTGTTTGATATTCCTATTTGTTGGGATATAGATTGTGTTGAGCGGGTTGTCAGCCATGCCCTTTCCAACAAATTCATTGTCAAGAACCACAGATATGTTCAATTTTTCAAGATCTGCCTTTGGACCGATCCCACTAAGCAGCAGCAGTTGAGGGCTCCCAAGTGCTCCCGATGACACGATAATTTCACTCCTTGGCCTCTTCGAAAGAAATGCTTTGTTTTGCTTCCCGTTTTCGTCTTTGAAAATGACTCCAACTGCCCGAGGTCTTTTACCTGTAATGGCATTGCATATTACCAAGATACTGATAATAAATTACACGATGAAATCTTGTTGTTTGTACTCTCTAGACCTATTAAGTAATACTTACTTGTTTTGTCAAACACAATCTTTTGGACTGTTGCGTGTACTAAAACATGGAGATTATCGGGATTTGCCGAGGCAAGGAGCTCAGCGGCGGTGTGACGCCGACCGAACCTGTCAAAAATAGTTCCACCAATTTTGGTTCCATATAGATGATCATAGGTGAATCCATTGAAAGGTGAGATTCCAACTTCTATAAGGCTGTCCCTAAATGCTCTTTGCCACGGCACAAGCTCTGGCCTATGCACAATTTGCCTCTCAACCCATGGATATGATTCATTCACCAGTTTTGCATCCCACCCTACTCTTTTAATGTAACTGGAAGTCACAAAATTCAAGTGTTAACAAGTTGGCACATATCAACCATCTTTCTAAAAATCTTGCTTGAAAATCAAAGGAAGAAGGTCAAATATTTTGTAGCATAGTTCGCATAACGAGAGACTAGAAATGACCCGATAGCCCAAAAATGGGAATAAATATCAGGCATTCTTCTACCGGTCGCTCTATATTAACCTGGGATTTGAACTCTCCAGTTGAGTACGCTCTTCCTATGTAGTAACTTACCAAGGCCTAATGCTATATTAGATATTCGAATACTATGAAAACAAGTGTACAATAATATTAGCCATATAGTAAGTACTTTTTAAAAGAAAAGAATTGAATTGAATTGAATGCCATATATGAGAAGTTATGGTGCGTAGGTAAGGTACAACTTCTTTTGTTGTTTAGATGTACGGATATTGTCATGTATTTAAATCAAGAGGACCACACCAAGTATTTATTACCAAAGCAAGAACATAACAACCAACAAAAACAAAAATGACAGCATACAATGGCAACTTACAAGAAAATGAACATAAAATCATGTTCATAATATTGTTTAGTCTGTCTAGAACTGTTTACTAAACACGTTGTAGTAGTCCATGAACAGAGCCATAGCGATTATCTACTAGTTTAAATCTTAATTTGGTCTAATTAGCAACCATTTGTTCAATGCCCACATTCTTAATCTCAAATAGCATTCAAGATCCTACATTTTTATCTCAATATCTAGTAAATCACTAAACGAAGGTAAATTCTCTTTCCATTCGTCTAAAACTAGTATAAACACCCAATTACTACGCAAATTTTCGCCCAAAACATGTACACTTATATAACTCAAACTAGGAAAGAAGCAAAAATGTGGTCAGTAGGCATTTTGAAGCTGTACCTTGCGCTTGCTCTGGTGTAAAATCCTGCATTGATGCAGGTACCTCCACCCAAGATTCTAGCCCTGGAATTAATAACTCCATCGGTGGAAATAAATACTTGTGATGCAGAGGTTTGTGATGTATCGGCTAAGGAAATGTGAAAATTCTGCAAAAATGATACATTTCCATTGGCAAAAGGGGTTCCGCCTCTTTCGAGTAATAGTACGCTGAAGTTTTGCGATAGGGTGGCCGCGAGTGGGCAGCCGGCCGTGCCACCGCCGATGATTATGTAGTCATAGGTCTTACTTGCGCCTCTGGACTCGGCTGCGGATGGCGGTTCGGTGAATGAGCTTGCTGGTCTTATGAAAGGGTATCGATACTGTCCTGGATGTTCATAAGCTGCATGGAAATGATTTTCAAGTTGGTAAAAAGTCTGTTGGACAAACATGCATGCAATCTAATTGTGGAAAAAAGAAAAAAATATATATATCAAAATAAAATTCAGAGACAGGACCGGCCTCGAAAGTTTGAAGTCTTGCCAACTTTATATGGGGCAATAGTCAAATTTGGCCCTCATCTATACGGGGCCAAACCTACGCCACCTATTGTCATGCCGGAGAGAGGTGGGTGCGTCCCATGTAATTTTATTTTCAAAGGCTTCCCATGTAAAATTAGTTTAAGGCCCTAAAAATCTCAACACCACACCTGACGGCCGCCTATAGTAGGGGGCCACAGAGAGGAAGACAGGCAAAGCAACAGATTGAGAGAGAGAGAGAGAGAGTCTGAAAGACAAAGTATTGAAGAAAGACGCACCTTGAGAGAGAGCAAAAGTGTTGATCCATAGAATTAAAGAGAGCAAGATTTTGAATTTCATAAGAATTTCTGCTGCACCACCAACCAAAGCCATTGAGAGACAGACAGAAAATCGCACACTCACAAATCCCCTATAAACTTCTGCAGATTTTCTTGATATGGTTACCTCTGATTGGCCTTTTTCTCTGTGTATTCTTCCCAATTATATAATACTATATAATGTACATGAGAGAAATTAATAAGAAAATTCCAGAATATAACAATATAATTTGGAATGACTATTGGTAAGTCTTACAAGTAATAAATGCCACATAAATTATCAACTGAGAATACCATTAAATATAGAAATGAATGTCACAGTTGAAGAGATAATGAATGCATGCGCCTCTGTTTAATGAATTTTTACTATTTTCATAGCATCCAACAACTACGTGGACGATATACAGCTAGCTAGCTCACTTTTCCAGCCTGCATTCTGTGCATTTTCAGCTTCTCCTTCGTTTAATGGTCTCTTCACAGTTTCGGCCACCATTAATAGAAACCCGCTCAGGTCTGTACCAAGTAGATAACTGCATATAACTATTATTATATCTCTTTATCAACCATCAACAACCCCACAAAATTGTGAATTGTGTATGCACGGTCGAGCTGGATGGCAGCAACAGGGGTGGCAATGGGCTCGTGAGAGCTCAATCCATGGGCCACTCGGCCCGCATTAAACCGGCTTAGTATATATATAGCACACATTGGGCAAAGCTTAAATATTACTTTAAGATAGTCAAACATATTTTATATGCTCATATTTCGACACACAATTTATCATCTGCTTATTATATGCACATTTCATGAAATTCATAGTTTATAAGCACTTAAAACCATTATTAATTATTGTCGTACCCATTGTACAAAACATGATCTTATTCTCAAATATAACACTCTATCAAGGCAGATACAGCACCTAGCGAGCCCCCGCGGCCGCCGGTGCTGAATCCGCCAAAAGCAATTTTTTTGTTGATGATAGATAAAAGTTTTATATTATGTATCTAATAATCCATTATCTTCAACAACCTTTCTTGTGGCTCTGTTAAAGTTTCACAACCAAATTGGACATCTTGGTTTCGAATCAAGAGGGCGTTATTGCTCCTTTATTTTCTTTTTAATTACTACTACTTTTTTTAGCCATATTGTACTTACATAGACTTTTATTCGTTACATTACCGAAAAAGAAATAAAGGGGATTTTTTTCTTAGGGGTTGATTGATGATTGAGTATTATTTGTTCGTTCTATATGCATTTTTATTTTCATTTATCTACCCATCTTTTGCGAAGTTTTTTTGACATTTAAATTTGAAATTAAAACGAGAAAAATTAGAATTTTTGCTTAATATTTTTATCTCTCAGATAAAAATATCTCACAAATAAGCAAATAAGAAAGAGCAATTTATAGTGTTATTTTTCTATTTCAACAATTTTTACTAAAACTAATGCAAGAGTGGGGATTCAAACCTGTGACCCCTTCTCTAATATTATTAAAGCCTTGACCTTCATTTGCATGCATTGAATTGTGACACTAATTCCAACAAACAAATATATGTTCAAGTTTAGTGCAATTAGAAGGATACAAACTCCTGACCATAATTTGAAGCTTACAACGCTTGGCCGCTATGTCACGCCCCCCATTTGGTAGAAATGCATAGCAGAAAATATATGTTCATTTTTAGCAAAAATATAACTTGTTATATTTAATTTTAAATATTTTATAGTGACCAACGATCAACCGGCCCCCGTACTCACTCCAAATCCTGGATTCGCTCCTGATCAAGGGTGGAAGATACAATGCTAACACTTGTTGCATGTTGAAGATGAAGATAATACAAAAGGAAAATTCCCTAAGTACGGGAATTCTTTCACAGAATCTCAAAAAGTCTAGTTGTGGCAGCACCTGATTTGCAAAGAGTTTTAATTTTATTTTTTATTTTTTTTTTCCTTTTATTATATGCCAACGAATTTATGCCTTGTGGAATCCTGTAAAATTTCTGTGAAAATTTCCCTTTACCCGTAGCATTATTCAATTCAAAATTAATTATTATAAGCTGGTTAATGTTATATGTATCAACATAAACTTTACTAATCATGCTAGAGATTTAATTAATTTCTTTTATTCTAGAAAAAAACAATTCCTATAAATAATGTAAGGTCAAGGCCATGCTTCTATGTTGTGTTCCAAGTTGAAGTTCCACATGAAAATTATTAAAGATTTATATTAAAAATATGCCTGCAGATTTAAAAAAGACATCCTTGGCTTTGATCTGGATCTACATTGAATACATTGGGACCTGCCCACAATCACTTCCATAGAGACAAATGCACATCAAAAGTTGCTGGAATTTACTTTACAGTGCTTCCAACATAAAAATAAATCCTCTTGTTTGATTATCATAAGCACACAGTCGTTAGTATTATGGACGTGTCAAGGATAGTGGATTGGACTGGACTGGACTGGACTCTACGGTATTAAAGATTTTAAACAATTTATAAATTTTTATTCCTTAATTTTGTTCATTATGTTTAATTTAACGTACAAAATATTTCAGATTACGTCTTTATGATTGGTATATTTTCTTACTAATATTGTCATTCAAAATCACAAAGTGGGTCATTGACAAAATGAAAAAAGTTTGCATTGGGACATTAATTTATGTTTCCAAATTCATGTTAGCATGGGGACATCGTGCAAGTTTTGTAATATAAAGATTTAAAGACAATTAATTTTTAATTCTCTTGAACATGAGATCGTTTTTTCAAGCCTGCTATATGTATAGAAAAATTATGTCAGAATTTAGCTAGAATACACTTGACGGATTTTTGTTGGACAATGGCAAAGAAAAATAAGGCAAACCAACGATAGCATCTAGTGAAATTCTGGCATAATTGCTTCTTTACAAGCAGATAAATTCCTTTTTTTCCCCTTAGTTTAATGATTATAATTCCTTCATTCAAATCATTTTCTAGCAACTTGATATGTTTACATATTGTTGAGCGATCTACATGAACCTATTTAATTAAAAAATATACAACGATATCTAACTTTTAGCCATTGATGAGGATTTTTTCCTATATATATTAAATAATTCGTAACTTGTGTAACAAAGCACGGCTCTGGAGGCAGTTTGAAGTTATTTTTGAGTAGGTTGAGGTAAACCTTATTAAGTTTGGCATGGAGTGACAAAATATGAGTCGTGACCAACTACAAACTACTTGACATGTCTATAGATATGGCCTTTGTGGTTGTCAATCGGTCGAAAACTCAGATGAAACCACACAGCCATTTCTTTTCAATTCCCCGCCAAATTTTCTATGTCCTCTAACATATAAATCCTTACCAACCAATCTGACGAGAAAAATACAAAAAATAAATAGCATAATTAATTCAACCTGTATAGCACTGGACCTACCAAAATCAGGGGTTAAAAAATATGAATAAAATAATATAAAATAAAGCAATCTCATAGCACAAACATTTTAATTGGTACGTTTAACACGTCTGCTAGATATTTTTCATCATTTTGCATATATTTATTTTTTGTTTTCCGAATGATAAAGAGAATTTTATTTTCGAAAGTCTTTGAATAGGTGCGTCTGTTCGTTTTTTACAGTTACTTCCAATAGATGTATTCTTCATTTTAAGGGACACACCTATTCAAACGGTTGCCTCAATTTCTATAAATTCTGAGCAAATTCTCGTTTGCAAGACACATTAAAAATAATCTTCTTTCTTTCTCTTGCCATCATTAGTTCTTTTTTGAATGTCTTCTTAATTTGATCAAACAGTCACAATTTGAATCAAACTCCTCTATTGTATCTTGAGAGAGGTTTTCTATCATACCTCAGTCGTGACTTCGTTGGATAGGGGAGAAACATCTCTTAAAAGATAACGTTTTTCGTGCCTTGAAATTCATTAAGTTTTCAGATTTTCCTACATTTTTCTCAACAACGTCTACTTTCATGCTTCAACTTACATCTAAAAGATTAATTTTTTTGCACAAATGCTCAACAAAATCTCATAAAATTTTAAGTAATTAGAATAAGACTGCTTGTGCATTTTAAGTTGGTCACAAAAATTGAACCCAAAAAATAAATAAATAAATAAATAAATTTCTTTCTCAATCTAAGCATCCTAGGTACGAAAAAGAACCATCGAGTTCTGTGTTTTGTTTGTGCATTTAAGAGGAAAATCTCACATGGTGCACCTAACACATTGCCATGTCCCATGAGAAATAGAGTAGTCCTTTTCTGTCTACTATTTCTCATTCTGGTATTTCAATTGGGAAAAAATTGAGTAAATCCTACTAGTAGTCGATAAAATCAGCTAGGCAATAGAGTTTTCAATTGTAGAATTCACATGACCAATCAAGTTATTGGTGTTTAAGATAGGCGAAAATGATTGACCTCAAGATGGTGTTACTTCAATAATTTTTATTACTATCTTGTTGACTTGAACTCTACCGAAGTCAAGTCAGTTGATCGAATTTACTTTTCATCAAACTAAATAATTTCCCGCTAATTTGACGGTATATAATTTAGAAGGTATAACATGAGACGAAAGTGATAAATCACATCATTATATAATTATATGCACGATGAAACTAAATTATCTTTCGAATATAATTGTGACAGCAATTAATTATTGACTATTACTAGTTATTTAATATAGTCAACTCAAAATTCATGGTTTGAATGTAATAACTTAAATTTGGTCCCATAATGATGTGACAAACAAGACAACTATGAAGGGGATTGCATAACTCTGATGGGTGGGGGATAACTATATATTTTTAAAGAAGAGACAAAGATTAAGGGACATGGTACCAAAAATACAAGGATGAATATGGACCTACATTACATACTTTAAGGACCCACAATTATTTGACATAATGAGATGGGTTGACAATTAATTAAGATCATAGTCCAAGAGCCATCTTACAATTGGTGTAGTTGTCCAAATCTGGTTGGGAACCAACCATTCAATAAGAATGAAATGTTGCGTTCTACTTCAATGGCATATTTGATTAAGTCGATAAAAATCAATTTTTAAGTACATGGAGAGAAAGTAAGTAAAGATTTACTTTTAATTTTTTGAACAAACAGTTACTTTTAATTTGTTTTGATAAATATACTTGGATAAGCCAAAAAAAAAATCCTTCTAAACAATACGACACGCTGAGAAATCACTGCAAGAGGCTCGTCCCATGCGAGGAAAGAGCCCGTGGCAAAGGTGGCAGTAATAGTGAGAAGCAGAGGCCAAAGTAAACGAAGAAAACATTTAACGAAGCTTTTTGTAAATTATAAGTTGTGGGTCTTACGAAATATGTAGATAAAAGTTATAAATCATTCCGAGTTAATGAATATAAATAATATTTAATCAGCTTATAAACTTTAAAAAGCTTTACCAAACATACTCGGCCAG